CACCTGCCCCCCCGTCACACCTGTCCCAGGTGTGTCACCTGTCACCTGTGTCACCTGTCACCTGTGTCACCTGTCCCAGCTGTGTCACCTGTCCCAGGTGTGTCACCAGTGTCACCTGTCCCAGGTGTGTCACCTGTCCCAGGTGTCTCATCTGTCACCTGTGTCACCTGTCCCAGGTGTGTCACCAGCCCCAGCCCTCAAAGTGGCCCAAATTTTCCCCCGAAAGTGTTTTTTTTTTTCCGGAGCCCCAAAACCCCGAAATTCCTGAAATTCCCCAAGCTGTGGAATTTTCTCACCGATTTTTGTTGTCATCTCCTGGTTTTCTACAGGGAAAGAACAGGAAATCAGGACTTGGGAAGGGGAAAGGAGGGGAATTCTGGGAATTTGGGGATGGAAGGGTTAAAAGATATAGTAATATATTTTAAATTACGTGTATTACCTATAAAAATACACAAAATCATATTTAATATATTAAAATGTATTAAAATAAATTACATTTTAAATACGATATAAAAATATATTTAAAATATTCTATAATACATCTAAAATACATAAAAATATATATTTTTATATTTAGTGACTTGATATTAAAAATATATTATTAATAGTTAATAAATATAACCATTGATAATAATGAAATAATTATTGATTATTAAGTATTAATAATTGCAAAATCAATATATAATTACTGTTAACAGTATTAATAAATTAATAATAATATAATTTATATTCTTAAATAATTGAAATAATTCTAATTCTACCTACGATACATATTATTATAGAAAATGTGATTAATTCTGGAGGAATAATCCAGGATTTTTTACCCTTCTGGAATTTTTCCTGCACTTCCTCTGGAAGACAAAGGGAGAAAATGAGGAAAATGGAGGGAAATTCAGGACAACCCCCCCCAGGTCTATGAAATCATCAGAAATAGTCTCAGTCTAACAAACCCTCAGTCCCGAGCTCAGCCCTTACCCAGCTCCATCTTGAATTCCTCGATGTCTGAAAGGAATCGGGTTCAAATATTAAAAATCATAATTTTTTCCCTTTTTCGTCCCCTTTTCCCCCAAAATACACCAAATTTTTCCCATTTTTCTGACACTTTCACCAGGTTTTAACAGTCGCTGATTTCGCAGGTTCAGGTTAATTTTAATTTGATTTTCTCGCTGGATTTGATTCATTTTTTTTTTAATTTGTTAAAGACATTTGAAGACAGAAATCACCAAGAAAAAAAATCACTTTTTTTTTTTCCACTCACCCTCCTGAATTTGCTTCTGGGCGTTTTCTGGGAAAAGAGGAACATTTTGGAGCACAAAAAAATTAATTTTTAAATTAATTTAAAAGTTTATTTATAAATGTAATTAATTAATTTAAAAATCAGTTTTAAGGACTGTTTTCTGCTTTTCTTTTTTGTATTTATTTCTTTATTTTCATGTTTTATTTCTATTTTTAGAAGCCTGAGGTTTAATTTCGTTAATTAGTTGAATTTGACTCACTTTCCTGATCCGTCGCCTTTTGGTTGACTGTGGGAAAACAGGGAAAGGGGAATGTTGGTTAACTCGGGATTTTTCCAAGGAAGGTTTTCCTGGGAAGGGGAAAAAGGGGGAAAAGGGGGGGAAGAAGGGGAGAAATGGGAAAAGGGAAAAAAGGGGGGAAAGGGAAAGAAAGGCTAAAAAGGGAACTTACTGCGGAGTTTATAAACAGCTGCCAGGAGCAGGAATATCCCAAAGAGCAGGATCATCACAAAAGCCGGGAGCCAGAGGGAGATGGTCGGAAAGAAACTCTCTGGAAAACAATCCAGGGGCTCCGTTACATGAGATTTTGGGGACACACCTGGAGCGGAGGGAATCTGGATCCCCAAACCTGGAATTTTGCATCCCTAGACTGGGAGCTGATTGATTATCCCACTAGAAACTGGGATTCCCGGGAAAAGCGGCACCAGATCCCTGTTTTCCCCCTCACCCGTGATGACGACGGAGGATTCCGTGGACGTTTTCCCGAGGCTGTCGACGATCCTGCAGGACACGGCGTTCCCAGATCCCGCTTTGAGGACAAGGGAGCTCCCGGCATTCCCGGATGTGTCCGTGCTCAGGGGATTCCCAGTGATATTCCTGCCTTTCCCATCCACCCACAACACCTTGACTTCGGAAAAGAGCCGCTCCGAGAGGCACTTGAGGCGGATTCCGGAGTCTTCCAATCCATCCAGGACGAGCAGCGGGTCATGGAGGCTCCCTACGGATGAGCAGGACACAGGAGTTCCAGAAGAATATCCTGATTTTCCCCCCTCTCCAAGGCAGCTGGAATTACTGGGATGAAGATTCTGGGTCCTTCTCACCAGGTGGGAATAAAACAAAATGAGCCGAGGAATTCATCAGGAGCAAAAAATTCCCCCCCCCCAAAATCCAAAAATTAACTTCCCTGAGTTCCCCCGATGGAATCATTTGGAAGCTCGAATCCCAAAGAATTCCAGAAGCTCTCCGGGGATCCTCAGGGTCTTTTCCAAGCTCAGTAAATCCATGAAATCCCATAAAATTACCCGTTGTGGGGTGGAGTCCGGAGAACGCGATGAGGGGGACCATCCGGATCCAGGGCCCCATTCCTATGGGGAAAGGAAAAATTCCAGGTGGGAATGGGAAATCCATGGGATTGGGTCCTGCTCCTGAGTTCTGGAGCAGCTGGATCTGCTCCAACAAACTGTTCCCGGTTTTTGGAAGTTGTTCTGTGGGTTCCTTTCCTGGATTTAGAGGGAATGGAAAAGGGAAAAAAGGGGGAAAGGGAGAAAAATGGGAAAGGGAGAAAAAAGGGGGAAAAAGGAAAAGGAGGGAAAAAAAGGGAAAACAGGGAAAACTCCTGGGAGTTCCCTTTTTGCAGGGCGTCCTTTTCCTCAGCAGCAATTCCCAGGAAAACGAGGCCATTCTGGAAACTTTGGGGGTTTTTTATCCACAGTTTTTTTGGGGATTTTTTCCCATTTCGGCCCTTTTTCAATCTCTCCCCCCTCCCCCCATAATATCATGGTGCCAAAATTCCTTTTGCTTTCCCGAGGGAATAAAAGAGAATTCCCAAATATTTCAGGGCAAATCCCAAAATCCTGGAAAAGCAACGCAAGGGAAGGGAAAGCAACAGAAATCCTGTGGGAAAAGAAGGAACAGGAAAAACTTGGGAGCTCCGGGAATTATAAATAAACAGAAAACGGGAATTTATGGGAAATATAAAATGGAAATGGGATAAAATTCCCTGGAAAAGGTGGGAAATCGCGTGGAAAAAGGAAAAACCAACCTGGTTTTCCAGCAGCACCCGCAGGATCTCCAGAAAATCCCTCGGGATTGAAACCTGTCAGAGGCTGCGGAGGCTCCTGGGACCTTTGGAGCCAAAAAGGGAGGAAATTCCAGCGGTAAAACGATTCCTGGTTTTCCAAAGGTCACCAGAGAGGAGAGTGGGAGGGAACAGAAGAGGGAATGGGGCAGGAATTTGTGGGATTTGGGGTGAAACCCCCCGGGATGAGGAAAAAGAAGCCTAAAGGGACCTTCGGAGAGTGGGAGTTTTGTGGGATTCAGACGAGTACAGCCCAGTTCAGACCAGTACAGCCCAGTACGCTCCCAGTGCGTCCCAGTGCCTTCCCAGCGCCAT